AGTCTGTATGTTTCTCTGCTTATTGTTTGTGTCCTGCTGCTTGAAAAACAGCTTAGTTGCATAGTAAATCTCTCTAATCAACACAAGAAGAGAACAAAAAGAACATGCACCCTCATTTGTTAGAGCTGCTTCAGAAGGGTGGACGTTTGAAGGATGTATTCTGGGAAGTTTGTCCCTGTTCTTCAGAAAGCCTCGTTAATATGAGCATAACTAACCAGGCATCTCAGGAGAGGACAGAGGCACATTCATTAAAATTATGTGAAAAAACAGCCCATATAACAGATATCTATCATAATGATACTTCTGTTGTCTCTCACTGCAGTGTCTAAGCGATAAGTTCCATAAAGCACATAAGGCCCAAAGTGTGTAGCTGACAGCAAGGGACTGTTTTTTGAGCTCAGATGCTCACTCCATCCCTCTTTGCATTCAGGTCCAGTGCATTCAGTTCCCTTTACATGCTTCTCCTTCTCTCCCCTCCCTCCAAATTAAAGCTCACCTCCATTTGGAGAAGTCCCCAGTCAGACCTTTTGCTTGCTGTGAGTAACATAGATATGCATGCTATAGCGGATATATAAAAATACTGCTGGATGACAAGCCATAAATAATGTGCCTACTGACTCCTGATGAGATACTGCCACGATGTTTAATGCATTTATTAACCATATAGTGCTGTGATTTGTAGAAACTGCATTCATAATTACAAGATATCATTTAGGGGCATAAATCCAGGACTATAGTGTCTTCAAAGGATGGAGATAGAGGGATTTGGGGGATGGAAAGAAGAGAGTTATTAGGTTTGGGAGATATTATGATGGTTTTAGGAGCAGGGCAAGAGAAGACTAGGTTAGAGTGTGGTGAGTCTGAGCAAGGACATACAAATGAACTCATTTAGGAGACAGTGGGATTAGAGGGTTACATGTAGGCCCACAGATTCCATTTTAAGTAAACCCTTAATGGAGGCTGGAGAAGAAATCTCTCTGTAAGTAGTATTCCTTTGAGAAAACAACTAGTTACCCTCCTGGTCCCAATTCCCCCTTCTTTCTAGGAAAGAGAAGTAGTTCTTTTCTGGACATGCAGCTAGTTTCTTTACCAACCTTTGACTGAGCCCAGCACCTTACATTGAGTATTAAAAGCTAAAATTTGTGAAGGCCAAAACAAGGCTTGTGTGACTAATGTACAGTGTTGTGCAGAGCTCATCATGAGGTGCGTGAATACGATTCTCTCTAAATATCATCTGTTGCTTGTGCTACAGCAGTGATAAGATTCTCTGTAAAAGCAGATGTTCATTTTTGCTGAATATAAAAGCTTAAGTGAGTGCAAGATTGTTGGCAGTATGGGGGCAGATTTGTTGGAGTAGCCCACATTACTGAATTATAGTTCCCTGCAAAGCCAGGGTGAGTGTCAGCTCATCTTGCATAACTTCATTTTACAGTTAGAGGTATGTCACAGCTGAATATGTCATGAGCAAATGCTATTTTACCTTAGCGGAAGAGATTCATACCACTTTCCATATGTTTAACCAGTTACTTTATGCTGCTTTTCTTTCACAGTTTTATGTATATATATATGTAAAATATATATATACATATATTATTATTTTTACCAGCCCAACTCTGCTTGTCTTCTGTTTAATGATGAAATTCCTGTAGATTTTCTTGTCAGCAAATAAGAGCTTTATAAAAAATAAAAATAAATGTAAGATTGAACACAGACTTACTTGGCATTTGTGTGTGATATTTTACTCCTGTGGAATTAGGTGTTTCCAGCACATTTCAAGATACCCTCTTTGCCCGTATGTTAGGCACACAGGGGACCCGAGATGGGGGTTTGGCGGTGAATCTTTAGAATCTTGCATAATGAACAGTTCTCATTTCCCAAATTTGTTGATGGCATAGATACTCCCTGTGAGAATAGTTTGCAGCTGTACACGATGGGCACACATTTCTATTGTTTAATTTTTTAGGATAATGGAAGATGTTGTAGAGTAAATATCCAGTGGCTGAGAATATCCTTCATAATTCAAATGCATGTCTACCCATTTGGGTACATTTCCACCAAGGCAATCAGCATAACATCCAGCTCCTGATTTTTTGCTTCAGATTGGGCATTCTCTCAACACAGAACAAATACAGCAGCTCTGCTACATGTAGAGCCCTTTGTAGAGAGGCAGGAAGAATTTTCCCCTTAGGTTGTAATTACAGGACATATGCTTTCTATAGCACTCTTCAACACGTAGGGTTTTCTTGCCATTACTTGTGATTTAGTGATGCACTGCTGTATTACAGGAGTGCAGCCTATGCCAGCATTTCCATTATAACCCGTTTTTACAGGTTTATAACTCAACAGTAAAAATGTACTCTTCCAATTTGAAACTTGGCATATAATGTCTCGTCTCATCCTCAAAGTGATATTTTTTCTTTCCCTCTGTCTTTCCCCCCCAAAAAAGGCTACATTTTTGCTGTATTTTTAAATGGAAGATATTGTTCTTTCTGTTTTGATAGGAGAAAAGCCTGCCTGACTATTAAAATTACATCTCAATTCTAAGGAAGAACTTTGTAACAGAAATTGCTAGTGAATAAGTGTTGTTGATGTTAGAATAACTATACTAAGTACATGCATGGATACAGAGAAGTACTACCTTCCAAACTAAAGCTATGGAATATTGATCAAAGTGATTGAAAAGCCTTTTTTTTTCTTTTCTTTTTTTTTTCTCATGTTGATTTTGTTTCTAGCTGTTGATTTTACCCTTAAAACTGTGTCCTCAATAGTAAATATGTTTCAGCTTCTGTACTTTATCTAGCAGAATGAAACAAAGGAAGATTTTACTGCATATAAACAAAATAAAGGTGGTTTATCTCCTTTGTTGTTTGAGGAACACAGTACTGAAGGAACAAAAACTCTTAACTTCAGTGTTGGAACCAACTAACAAGGGTACCCTTGTAGTTAGCACAGTGTCACAAATCCAGAACAGGCCTATGCAGCAAAGAACAATATTTCCAACAGAGGTACCCTTCTGTGGACAACAGAATTTACCACTAAAGGGCCAAGTAGGAAATAGGCAGCTTTTATTGTCCTTGTAGTTTGTACAGTTAAGATCTGAACATCTACTTATGCCTCCTTTGAGACTCCTTTGGAGTCTTACATTTCAATGCAGTGTGTGTTTAGGATATGAGAAAATCAGGACTGAAGTCCAGTTTCCTCTTCTTTGCCCATCTTCCTTGGGCCAGTCAGTTAAGAGCTGAAATCTACCCAGTTGCCAATAAAGAAAGTTTCCTAATTTGTGTGGAAACCTCCACCACTGCAAACACAGCAGGAAGGCTTCGCTGTGTTGCTGCTTCTTGCAGTAAGTTTACTTCAAGGCATTTCTTTTTCCATTTAGATAGTTAAATATATGCTTACCATAACCACTTTAATGGTAGTAATTAGAAGAAAGGGAATGTAAGAGAGAGATTTCATGGAGGGTTTTTATTAATTAATTGAGCTATTATTTTATCATATATTTTAAAACTGCCAACATATATACAATATGCGTTCTTTCTATAGCTAAGCTTTCATTTAAATCCCAGCTGTTTTCAATTGTCTCTAATATATTTATTTATAAATAAAAAAGTATCATGAAAATGTTCTTCTTAATGAGAAGTTCAGTTCCTCCATTTGGATTCTAAATTCAGTAATTAGGTTGAAGAATAGTTTGTTTCCCATAGGCAGCATCAATGACTCTCAGATACGAAATTAAATGGCCATACGTGGAACTGAACTTTTGTAAGGTATAAAATAGAATGCTTAGCACTTCCTCGCATCATCTCTAATTCAAACCAGCTCTGACAAAACCGGTAGGATGCTGAAGTGTAAAATGCATGCAACACAGTGAGATTCAGGTCTTCATTTTGTGCAGCAAATAAATTGGTAATCCCATGGAAACTTCCAGGTGGAAGTGTCAGATGTGCCCAGTGCAGTCAGTAGTTTTTGTTGTGTAAATCCAAGTCTTCTGTTACAAGATTTGATTGTACGTTTAACACTGGAAGCTCCTGTAAAAGAGTGCTGTTTATGTTTCTGAGAATACAAAGAAAGAAATGATATTGAGATTACTGGAGTACTTAAATCAACCACAGCACCATTAAGTAAAAACATCTTCGGCACCATGGGGATTGCTATTACTATTATAGAAAAGTAGAAAACTCCCAGCCCAGTCGTGTTCACTTGAGCAATGGAAATATTAAGCACCTTGTGATGCTAAACAGAGTGCACGCTATTGCTTTCATTTTGTGTGATGCTGCCACCTCAGATGTTTCTTGCTTCAGTCACTGCGGAAAGCACATAGTGGATGGATGCTCACTGTAAGACGTGGATGAAGATAAATTCATTTTTTTAGGCTTTGATCATCAGTAATTTTCATGCATTTAATAATATGCCATGTATAATTGTGAGCATAATATAAACAAACAGCTCAATTTAGCTTTCAGGTATATACATTAAAAGACATTAAATGTTATGTTTGTAGTGTGCTCTGCAGCAGCCATGCAATATTTTAAAACTATGTTCATGTTCTGGCAATAGTACACAGAGAAAGTACATATGTTCTCAAGGATGAAATACTGCTGGTTGTGTATTTTCCTAAAACAGAAATATAGTAGATTTTTTGTTATTATACAGTGCTTTTTAATGGTGCTTTTTAACTGTCGTATTTAATTTCTTCTCATGAACATCCAGCATCGTTTTTAAGGGGCCACAGAACATAACATGTTCTTTGCAGCTGGTGGCACTCAGCATTGTAATTACTGAGTACCCTTAGCTGACTGTTTAAAGTTTTGTTGTAAATTCAAATCAGAGCGTGAATGTCATTGGAAAACATGAAGTTACGTTTTTAAAATGTAATCGCTAATCATGTGCAAATCACTGTCAAAATCATAGGAGTATGACAACCCCTGTGAATTTATCTAATTGTTTTGTGCTGCTCTATGTGTAAATGTACAGGGAATAAATTTTGCATTTGTTCGTAGGCACAGAAGAAGCGGAAATCCAATGAATCCGTAGATACAGAGCTCTGTCTTAATGAGGTAAGTGTGCAGATCCTGTATGTTTCATAGCCATGGGTGTGTCCCCTAATATAAAATTCTCAACGACTTCCAAGATTATAATGGGCTTACCCTACAGTATATTCTTGTTTGCATGATTATGTTTGGATACTGTAAAGTATTAAAGATTGATCTTACTCAGAAATCCAGAACTGGGCTCAAAGTGGCTTCTGCTGACTTTGTATTTTAATAGCTGTACATGTTTAGGCAAATCCCATGGTAATTAACATTGTACCTAGCATGTATAATTAGTTAATAATCTGTAGGAACATGAGATGATAAGGCTTTTAACAAATACAGAGAAACACGCTGGACATCATTCCATCTAAAAAAAAAATGAACAATTTTGGGCCTGAATTGATGTTCTCATCAGAAGACAGACTGGTAGCACCAAGAGAAATAACCTTCCAGTGCTGTTTGACTACTCTGAGCCTGACCTCCAAGGCCCCTTTCAGACCTGAACATTACTTTGGTTTCCATGTCTGTCAGTCCATATCCTTTGGACTGAGTCTCTCAGGATGCTTAATTAATTAATTTTTACAATGTGAAACACCAACTGTACAGCAAGACCAATTTTAGTAGTATAAGGCACCAAGTGGATGTGACCATATATTTTAGGTTCTCCTTTGCTGATCCAAGTTTTACAGTGTTTCCAGACAATGGCAGTTCTATAGCCCGGTTCTAAATCTTTAGGTTCTGTTAAGAATTTCCAGTAGATACTAGAATAAAGTTTAATGACATGTGAAGAACCAAGGCTATGTTAACAGTATGCAGGAAAGTTAATGGATGCATTGGCATCTCATGCTGGCTAAAGACCTTTCACAAGAAGGCCCGTGTAACTGTAGCTTGCCATCAGATTTGCTGGTCCACCTTAACCCACATCCTGTGACAGTTTCCAAAACACAGATGATAAGGGCTGAATATAAGATGAGAGAAAGCATATTGTGATAATTCCCTCAGTGCCTCCTAGTACATCCAACAGTTTGTAGCTCAAGGACTTCCAGACAGTGAGAATCCTATCAGATGATAGCAAAGGGAGGGCGAGTGGCATGAAGATCTGTCCAAGAGTTGCTCCCTGGCTTTGTAATTATTAGTTTCTGTGGGAACTGATGCTCTATACTCATTCTTGGTATCTGCACTTCTGCATAGTTCTAGCTTGTACCTTGGCTGATTGGCTTTTCAGTATGGGGGAGGCTTGATCCCTCTGAAGAAGCTACATCCCGGAATGTTTTCAAACCCAGAGTAGGCAGGGTATGAGCACCTTTACTTGGAGTGATTGGATTTAATGACCTTAATGGCCTTCCAGTCTAAATTGTTTCGATTCTGTGATTATACATGCATTTTATTTTTACTTTTTTTAACTGAGGATGATAAGCAATTAAAAATATTCATTACACTTCCTACTTAAACAGTTCACTCTAATCTGGCAATCTATACTTGCCTATGCCTACTGCTTTATTATTGGTAGCAAAGATACAAGGCATGTAAATAATGCCACAATGAGGGGAAGAGAAATTAAGAAAGAAAAAATGTAATAAGCTAGAAACCTCAATCTTTTCTGATCCCATGGATGAGATTTTATCTATTGGCCTCCAGGAGTAACTTGTTATCAAAGTTGTTCTGTTGACTATGCAGAACTTGCAATTTCACTGGGGGTCCTGCATTTTTGTGTGTGTTTTTTTTTTTTATTTAATTATTATTATTTTTTATTTTATTTTATTTTTTAGTAAACTGGCATAAACACAGATGGCTAAAGCAAACGGCCATGTTTAACAAGGGCAAGTTTTACACATGGAACCACTTTTTTTTTTTTACTACATTATTCCTTTTTTTTTTTTTTTGAGTCATGCTGTGCTGGTGCTATACGTTCATGATATTTTTATCCTTTAACTTTAAAATGTTGTCATTTCACTTCTGTTTTTATGCTTTTTAGATATTTCAATTTGTGACTGTGATATATAGGTAACTGTGGAGGGTGGGACATGAACTGATGAATTTCATGACATCGATTTGAATATTTTGCAATGGAAATGTGTAATGGTGACCAAGGAAAGTGTTGTGTTTTGCAGAATGCTATTGGGAAAGACAACACAGCAGGAGTCTCCACCAGTCACATATCTTCAGAGAATTCATTTGCTCTTCCTACAAGCTTCTACGCAAGCACACCTCTCATTCTGATGACAATTGCACTCTCACTCTGTTTGTTCCTAAGCTCATCAGTCGTCTTGTAGCTGCATTACAAAAGGACGTGTAAAAAAAAAAAAAAAATCTGTTTCCTGTCCTCTGTTGTTTATCTGGAATTCCAGGTCTGGGGGCTAAGCTGAGGCACTCCTGCTAGAACAGTTTCAGTCAGCTGGAAATTTTTTTTTCTCTCTAAAAAAGCTTCTTGTGATATTTAGAGGCTTTGTGAAATACTTGGTGCAGTGCTACATTCCAAACCCAAAAGGCTTTTGGGCATGCAGTGTTTTAAAGAGACAGTGTGTAAATTTGCCTGTAAAGCAAGCTGGTTGGATTATTTTAATAATTACGTTAATTCTAGCCTTTACCCAAGAAGGAGGATGGCAGTTTTTCTTAAGATCCTATTTATCTCATTGAATAGTTTTGGTTTTCAAATTGATTGAACTTCAGACTATCAAGGATGCCAGGCTTTTGTCTAACGGTGAATGTTCTCCCAGAGAGTGGACTTTATGAAACTTCCTCATTTGATAAATTGCTACTGATGTTAAACTCTTTCAGTGTATTAGCATTTTCCTCTTTAAATGTTTATGTACTGTAAGTGATTCTGCATTCCCTGCTGAGAAGCCATTATAATTCACATACAGGTATAATGTATGTCTTTCAGTTAAATTCTCATAAAAATAGAGTGTGGCATAGAACTTTCTAACAGTACATTTATCTTTTAATTATAATCATCTAGCCTTAACAAGGGTGAAGATTCTATAAATTAACAAGAAGCAGCCATTGTGAAAGCTTCATAAACATATATTTCTTTAAATTCATGGATGAGCAGTAGAAACAAGTTTTGCTACAGGAGTTCAGCTATACAGCTGCTGGTCTTCTCTGCTTCTGTTGTGATACTATAGTCCAGTTATTATATTTTTCTTAATAAAAAAAGATACACAATTTATTTGCTCTACTAAAACAGCACTATCTGTTTATACATAGCTGATAGTGTCAGCTCAGAAAGTTACAGGAACTTCATGCCTTACTTCTCTTATCACAACATTGTAGAGGGAAAAGATGCAGTGGTACGATAACTGAGTTTCATCTCTGAGATGGCTAAAACCAACACGGAAGGATGGTTGATCCAATTACAAGGCAGCATCATGCACACTCACCCATGTGACAGGCTTTTCTCATCATAGTAGTTCTTACTGCAGCCCATGGGATTGCTGGCATGATGAACTGTTTGCAAGACCTATTCCTTAAACATTGTAATGGTTTGGATGCCAATATTGCCGGTATGCAAGATTTGAACACTTTGGTTTTCATTCAGTGACGTTGACAGCCACTGCTGGCTGCTGGTTTTCTGTGGTATTTAGAAGGGATTCTTTAAAGCTTTAAGTGTCATCAAATAGGCAACATTTCTCCTTACGGCTGTCCTTATACCTTACTGTGATGGCTTGGTGACTGTTACAAGCAGTTATATCTAAATGATCAACAGTAATCAGATTTTGTTTTTCCTGGAAGTAGGAGATAACGTGACCAAGCAAAGAGTTCATCATGTTGAATTTTCATATTTACATTGAGACTCACACAATTATGCACAGGCCTGCTTTGAAATGTCTGGATCAGTTATTTGCAATACAACTATAAGGTACAAATTACTGGTTTATAAACTGCAATGAAGTTTGAGAGTATGCAAAGTACACATCTTACTATGAGATGATTAAACCTATTGACAAGTTCATCTTTTGAGCTTTTTCTTAGCTAATAATAAACACTTTCAGAAATTCTAAAATTCACTTATGTACTCTTGATTATGGTCACATAATATAGGTTTCAAAGCACTGTGTATGTGATAGAATTCTAGGATGCCATGTGCCACTGAACATAACAAATTAGACAATATTACTTTTTAATTCTGTGCTGATAAGAAACTGCAAATTACTTTCAAAGGCATCAGAGCTGCTTTTGAAGAATATATAGCATATCATTACCAGCAAAGCCCATGTGGTTCCTGTTGCTCTTCTTGTGGAAGCTAATCAAATTATTGAAAACTAGTGACAACAGAAAAAAGATTATGAGATTCATGATTTTAAAAAAATAAATCAAATTATTTTATGTCAAAAGGAACTGATAGTATAACCTATTGAAATGGTAATGAGCATAGTGTTATAATTCAAAAGTCTGACATTATCCAATTAAAATATTTTCAAAACAAATTCATAAACATTACAATTATTAAATCCATCTTTGATCCACAAAGCTTTCTTTAAAATATCATTTGTATTCAGCACATTAAACATTTTAAGCAGTATCAGGAATTTTAATAACCTCCCAGTATAGTGCATACCTTTTTGAAGATTTTATACATTTGGTTTGATTATGGTGTCTCTATTACATTTAATACAAATTATTAGAGCTTTGACACTGTGTGATCCAGAATAAAAGCTGTTGATCACTTGTACTGTAAACAACAACCTAATTAGCTTCTGATTACAAAAGAAATTGCTAGTTATCTGATTCAATGAGGGTTACCTTTGGAAATGCAATTATGGATATAGTAGAGGAAGAAATGCCATTTTATACAGCTAGCCATGTTACCACAAACAACACAGAGCACTCAAGCTTTCTTTCCTGTATAAATTAAAAGCATACTGAATTCTTAATTAAAAAAAATAAATTGCTTATTAAACAGGCAAGAGGGAAAAAACCCTAAGAGTCTGACACTTAATGAGGTTTTACAGGCATCACCATGCAAATATTGGAAGATTTTTAGAAATTGGATGTGGTGTGGATGATGTCAATTTAGCATGGTGACCTTGTCAGTGCAGTCATTTGCTACAGAACTGAAGTATGCAAATTGTTTCACTTTTTCCCTTTCTGACGACTAAAATGCCATGTGTTTAGTGCTCAGCCGACAAACTGGACGTTACGTAGTATTTTAACACATTGATTTTATCAATATACCAATAATATAGGAACTGTCCAAATACAGGATGTACATACAGATGACCTACAGTTTAGATTGTGAATTTAACCAATTCAGTTATGTTTAAATTAAATCATGGGCTACCATAAACATTTACAAATCATCTTTTTCATTGAACGTAATAGAACAGACGTTGTCATTAGTATTATTCCCTAATAGTGTGTATACACTGCCATGTTAAATAACCTGATTATCGTGTCTTATGTTCCTCCTTAAAAGTAGTACACAGAAAGACAAAAATAATTCTGAACTGAAATATATGGCTAATGTTCTAAGCTATTTAACATACGTATTAATTCCACAAACTAGTTCAATGAAAGAGGCAACGAAGATGAGCCTTTCAGTGGAAATAATCATAATTAAGGGTGGGGGGACCAGTGCAGACAGTGATATCCACCACTGTGCAGTGGTCCTGCACCCGTGTCTGTGTAGTGGTATGGTGAGGAACAAGGAGCACAGACCTTGTTTCACCAACTTTTCACTCATTATCCTCGCTGTCTTCAGGGGAATGGGGAGAGAGGTGCTGAGCAGTCTGGAGGAACCATCTATCCATTGCCACTGGGGCACTGCCACTTCCTATTGAACTCTTTCATTTCTACTTTGTCATTAGGAAGAATTGGGAGGAACAGGAATTCTTAATTATTTTAAAGCATTTGTAACTCTGTCTGGAGACCTATTTCCAGCCCATTTTCTTTTAATGAAGTTGTATTCCAGTAAGACCCAAACTTTTAAAAATGAGGCTGTTTTAATTTGAGGAATGCTACAGTTTGTTGGTAGTTTGAAAACATGAAAATATACTTGCTAAGCCTATGTAATTAGGCTGGAAACAAAGAAAACAGAGAAGGAATCACCTTGAAATCTCAATATAATCCTAATTTTATTTTTTTTTGGCTTAATCACGATGGAAGGGAGATGGTGAGAAACCAGTGAAGAAGACCAAAACTCAGAAGAGCTCACTGAAGGGACATAAAATTGGGTATGTCAAGTGACATGAGTGTCTCATACTTAGCACTGGGATTTGTTGAAATAGAAGAGCTGGATTCTGTTAGGACAAGAAACTCCATCGGATCAAGCAGTAAAAGATGGAAGAATGAGCAGATATTTGTACAGCAATTATAACTTTCTTTCATAAAATGCGATTGTTTGTCTTCAACAATGATGTGGATCTACCTCATTGAAAAATACACATTCACTGACAGAACTTCTGCATTAAATTTGTTCTGGATAAATTCATCTGAGCTAAAGGGCCCCCCCCAAGGCTGTTTTATAGCAGTGAGGTTATTCAGGTTCTACCTGATGTCCATGACATCAAATAGAAATATAGTTGATTCTGATGAACTTGGCAGAGAAATTAATCCAGTGACTTGTTAAATATTTCTCATCTTTAAATATTTGCTTTTTCTTACCAGCTCCATTCTTCATATGACATTTCAATTAATGGCTCTTTCAGCTTCTCCTTTCAGTTTGGAAGGTCATTTTTTCCATATTCTACAGTCATCCACTTTCTCATAAAAGATTTTTTTTTTCCTCGGTGGTTTTGTTTGTTTGTTTGTTTTATAATTACAGCCTCCTGTTCTGGGAAAAAACAAACAAACTGTGGTCAGGAATATGTCTCTGCTGAACTACCAACATCTTTTTGGGGGGAGGGAATTGCAAGTTCCTATTTTATCTGTTTAGCGCTAGTTTGACTGGTACAAGCTAAAACATGAAGTTTCTGTTCCCCAGATGGAATTTAAAATTTAGTTTGATACTGAATAAGGCTTAAAAAGTTTTAAAGTTTCACAATCTCTCAGAAATATTTAAATATTTTTAATGTATTTTCTGCTTGGAATTTCAGTCAAATAGATAGTGTCACAAAATAGTATTTTTTTTTTCAAAAATAAGAAGTTTCCTTGTGAAATTTAAACGTGTCCATTTGAAGATAAAAAATCAGGGAGGGTGATGAATTCCCATTTTTTAATTCAATATTGTCTCCACTTTCATATACCTTTGTTCCATGTTTTCTTCATCTGGGTATGTTTGCCTTCAGGGGATGGTTATACTTAATAGGTATATTAGATGTGGTCAGGTCAATAATCAGAAGCTAAATCCCATAGCTCCTACTCAGAAGCTGTCTCTTTTAGCATTCATAAAAGACGGAGCAAGAAATTCAAGATGTAGCCTGCAGATTATCTGAAGTTTAAAAGAGCACAGAATCAAACAATTTCTCCATAGCATTTCTTATCAATATGCACTGTGGTATTATAATTTGGTGCCATCTAGACTAATCACTGAAGTTCTCTGAACACATTTGACCAGAGCAGCTGCAGCTTCTGCTGTTTTACCTTTGCTCTGTCATACAAAGAGGCAATTGCTACCTAGATTACAGCAGCCAAACCTGATCTCACTTCAGCAAGGGTTGGTTCCTCTAACCCAATTTTCCCCTGCTCTTAGCAATTCCAACACATGCTAATTCTTTTGCACTTCCTTTTAATCTCTCAGAAGGATAATTTTCTAGAAGTTGTATATGTAAGAGCAATTTTCGTCAAATTTCTCCTGTTAAAATACTACAATTGGCTTTGTTCCTTGTGGACTTCTATCCTACAAAGCATCAACTAGCCCTTGTTCAGCACCTTCAGTGCTTATGAAACTGAACAGCAGTTTGGGGGAATTGCCTTCCAGTAAATGAGGCCATGCTTGTTTTCAGGCTTCCTCAAGCCACTCATTCCAAGAATTGATGGTGTGAGTAAACAAACATACGTCGTGTTACATGGTGTTGTGGCAGTGTGCTGCTCCCCATGTCGGCTGGCTCGTGTCAAGCAGTTCACCAGTGTTGGCACCAAGATGCAGAGTTCCTCATGGCTCCTTCTGCTGGACACTGCTTTGACAGTAGGAGAGGATGTGCAGTTCTAAGTGCAAAAATATTATACCTTATATTGATGTATTGATGTGTGAAATACATCCCCAGCCCCGCTTCCTCTTCTAAATCCATTCGTTAGCTCCAGCTCTTTAGCTGGTCCACACAGAGTAAGAAGTTGATTTTGACCACTGCATTTGTCTTTAGGTAGGAAGTTTAAAAGGTACAAAAGCTGAACCTCATAGATTTACTGGACCTCAGGGAGACATAAACTCCTTCCAGCACAGAAGCCAGCAAATCTGCTGAAACTATGGCATAATTTTCAAAATAAAATTAAACATCATGGTCCTCTCCTAAGAATGCTTATGGAAAAGGATATATATGAAATAAGGTAACATTTATCAAAAACAGGAGAAAGCCTGAAGATGCAGAAATTGCTGGAGCCACTGTTCATTTTAGGAGATACTGCAGGGAACACACTGCTGAGAAATAGAAATATATGTCCTGGTGGGTAGAAGGCAGGTAGACAAATCATAGTTTGTGTTTTTGTTGACATTGTGATTTGGCCCATGGAAACTATTCCCCTTTTAAGAGCTGAAGTGATTCTCACGGGAGTATGCTATCGAAAACACAGCTGATGGGAGCACAGCATCGCCTTCCCACACCTCAAGCAGGGTCACTGTTAATGACTGCATGCTTTGGGTTAGGACAGGCACGTTAACCCTTGGGTGAAGTTGATTTGAGAAGGCTGTTTGTAAAGATTGATAGAGGTGGAACAGAGCCCCACAGTGGATTGCGTCTGGCAGTTGGGAGTGCACAACCCAGGCTGAGCTGAGTTTATCAAGAAAATAGGAGTAACAATTGAAGGAAAATATGGTCTTGAATTTTACATTGCGTCCTCTCTGGGAAGGTCACAGCAGAAGTGAGGGATAAAACCAACCTCTTAACACTTACCGATACCTTTCACTGTTTCTGGGTAAGAAAATATAAATAAGTCGTGAAGTTAGGCAGTGGAAGAAATCACTTCAAAGCACTGCAACACAGGAGATTTAACTGGTGGCAATTATTAATCTCCATCTTCTCCCCTCCCCCAGAGTTATTGCTACTGAGTTTGATTAACAGGGTTTGTATGATGTTTTGTGTGGCATTACTTAGTGCTGAAATGATTAGCTGTGATTAATGCTGTTCATGCCGGGAAGGTGTATGTTTCTTTCACTTGAGGATATGTCTAAGTTTGTATTTCTTTTGTGTAAAGTGCATGTAGACAAGAGCTGCAGCGAAGAGGAAATAGCACAGGAAGGTTCGGGTATAAGTAATTTTGGGTAATAAAGGGATTAATTGTGGGTAGGCAGAAAGGATACAGGTAGGGGAAACTGGTAGCGTTTGGACCCAGGAAGACTGGCATTCACTGTGAACTGAGGATATCCAATGTTAGCATTTTTTGTTTATTTCTTTTTTTCCTTTTTTTTTTCTTTTTCTGTATTTTTTTTCCCCAAATTATCTGCCTAGAACATGCTTCCATTTTCTGGAGGAAATTATTACACAAATAGTTACCTTCTTGTGTAAATTCTATGTTGTCTTATGGATTTCTGTACATCTCACTGCAGGTTATTATGTGTCAGGTCTTCAGTCATAATGGCTGGTAATTTGTTGTAAAAAAAATAAAAATAAAAACACTGTTCACTTGTTCCTGTTGACTTAGACGTTGCTCTAAGGACATTGCTTTTTGGACCATTCACACTTCAGAAGTCAAGTCATGATGTTTGGCATTTTCTGTTAGCATAATTCTCCTGCATTACTATTGTACATATCCAGAAAACAATCCCTCTCAATAAACATTATTCTCTTTTTTATTAAAAAGCATGTTTTTGTGAGAAAAATTTCCTGGTTGTTTGTTCTGTTTTGAATTATACAAAAGAAAGGAAGCTTGACTGGCAAAAAAAAAAAAAAAAAAAAAAAAAGGAAAGAAAACAAGCTTATTAAAGGTTGAGCTCATTGTTCCCTGTTGTTTTACAGTCCACTATGATCTAAGAAAATAAGAAATAAAGCTTTTCCCTTTAAGTATCTGTGCATTTGCTTGCTCCCTAGTCTTTTTGTGCTAGTGAATGTGGCCTGCAAAATGACAATGAGCAGGGAATATCAGATGGAAATGATGGGGCACGAGAGTGGCCAGCTGGCCCTATTCATACTTGCTCGCTCTCTGGCACGCAAGCACGCCTCCACGCCCGCCCAGCCCTTCCACCCTGTCAGGCCAGAAGCTAAGGGCTGGCTCCTGTTGTCACACATGGGAGCAAAAGGGTTGCAAGGGCTTCGAAGACAAAAGAGTCTGGGAGGGGGATATTTTAGGGAATGCAGAGTGTGCTGGGAGGGGAGGCAAGGCTCAAAGGCTGGAAATGCTTTCTTAGCTTGTACAGCAGATCGCTGTCGGTGTTCACCATTGTGTTTGGGCAGCTCTGGATGAGAGCTGCATGGGGTGAAGCAAGCGGGGGAGATGTTAGCTGTCCTGGCACTGCTTGCAGCTCGGATGGTTGTGGCATTAGGCTCCCCCTGCTTTCCCTCTTACTCTACGCTGTCACTGTGAAGGAAGAGAACAAGGAGGGAGGGACAGAAGTGAGGTCTCCCTCTGGGAGGTAGAGCTCCGAGATGTGCTCGCTGAGCAGCAGCCTCCCTGGGGACTGCTGACCCCAGCTGGATTCAATACCACCAAGCAGCATCTGGTACATGACCAGATGGGTTCCTTTGTGTGAGTGGTCTGTGGGTTTTATCTCTAGGTTTTGGTTGGCTGATTTATTTTTGTTTTAATTGTTACTATTCACACACAGCCTCCCTCTGCTAATTTCCCTGTGGGTTTAGGTAAGTTAGTGCCTGCCTAGACGGTGCACAAATAGGAGGCAGTGCGCCACGCTGCCCTTCTTCCATGTGTATATATTACACTGTCATTAAATAACGATGGCTCCTAGCATCAGGTGTGACAGAGAGGACCAGTGTCCTCATGATAAAATTGGCATTCCCTCCCCACTGGCCTGGATGATAGGTGTTAAACAAGCAGTGACCCATCACATGCAGAAGTTTGGCTGATTTTTGGTAGGGATGTTTGTAACGTCACACTGTTGTCTAGTGATGGCCAGGTAAGTAGCATTATCTGCTTTTACTGGCATTTATAGAATCAGTTCAGTTAAACAGGCTGAGTTACACAGAGCGTTTTGAATGACCCCCTTGGTAAGCAGCTGAATAAAGCAGGTTGACCTCATCAAAGTGAGTGTGTGACAGACACAAAGAGAGGGGAAACCGGCCAGCTTGCCATTAGCTTTCCTAGAGGTGCAGTTCCAGTGTACCATTAAACATGTGGATGGTCTCAGCTGGCTAGGACATGTATTTTAAAAGGTGGTTCTAACCGTTTATCCTTGCGCCATCACTTTCCAAACAGTGCTCCTGCCGCTCTCCAAACCACTCTACCTAAGCAATCGGCCAGCCCTTACACTTGTGCAGATTCTGTGTGTTGGCAGCAAAACCCGTCTGGGTTATTGTCTGTCTCATGCTGGATTCTGTTTTACATTCAGAGACAGGAGTATAATTTCCCGAAACAATTTTTGGTAACAATAAAACCCAATTATTTTGGTGATATGCATGTCTTTTTTGGACTTGAATACAGATTACACCCCCTGATTCTGCATCACCAAATTTTTAAACTGTATTAATTATAGAAAGCTGCACAGCAACAGCCAGGAACAAGACAAAATAGGAACCGGGAAACATTGCTTCAGTGTAATTCTGCAGAAGGTTTTATTTTTCTTCTTGTTGTTTTCTTACTCGGTTTTTCAAAGGTGATGCTAGTGAATATGTTGCTCTGAGGTAGGAAGCATAATTCACAGACTAGTTAATAAAAAACACACAACACACACACACACAAAACAACAGAAAACAATTTTTGGTGGCATTACAAAATAAAGACTGGTAGTCAATTGTTTTGGAAGGACCTGGCATTCAGGCTTCTGAATTACTATTGTATATATGTTCAGAAACGTAGGACAATATCCCACAAACACTGTCAGTGAGGTTAGCTAAACAGATGGTATTTACCTCTGGGTTTGCAAGAGTGCCACATACCTCCTGATTTCAAAGGAGACATTAATGAAAACATCTTAAAGAGAGGCAGTTGGCTAAGTGTGTCACAAAGTACCCCCCCCACATACACGGATACACAAGCATAAAAATAAAGCTACATTCTCCAAATAACTGCTAGCTTCCTTCTGAACTGGAAAGGCTTTAAATGCAGTATTAACCTGGCTGACCAGTGATATTTGCTTGTTTGTCAGAGGTCAGATTCCAGTGGCTAAAAATACAGTTTAGCTTGTATTTGTCTGCAAAACAATATTTGTCAATACCGTAGTGCTGAGCTTTCAGCAGATCAATGGCTGTACATAGCTCACTACCCGAGGGCTTTGTTATTAATACAAGTGTAGGTAGGCTAAGTATTGAGTGACATTATTAGAAAGGCATTGTCCTTCCCTAGGTGACTTTGATTTATGTTAAATGAACTTAAAGCCCTCTAACGCTCAGCCAGGCATCTGCTTGAACTTGTGAGAAACTTTATTTCCTGCTCTTCCTATCATGGGAATCGTACCTGCAATAATCTAAGGAATATTATTAAAAAAATAGTTTTGGAGTGCTATCAACTTGGGTTAGCATTTAGAAAACGTTTGTCTTCTTGACAAAAGGCTAAATTATCTCCCTTCAACCTCAGCAGTGGGATGGGATTAGACCAATTTGTGAGAGGCTACAGAACCTTTTTCCTCCTTAAATTTAGTACGTGGCGCTGTAGAATAATTGCCTTAGCATGGTGACTCTGGTTTAAAGAAGCATCTGATATCACAAAAAGAATGAAGCACATGTAAATAAATGTTTGTTTCTGAAGCAGGAGGCTTCACTTACATCTTGGTACACGTGTTGCCTCAGACATTGTGACTTTGATGTCTGCACAGATGTCATACTGCCACGTGGATCTGACCAACCTTGTTGCTCACAAGGCTCCTCAAATGCCACCACTTGCTACAGCCCCCGTGGGCACCAGAAGCAGCCAGATGTTAGACTGAGGAAGATGCTTTCCAGGCACGCAGCTGACCACAGAAGCAGTTGTCCTGTCGAGTTTGGTGATGCCCAAATATCTGACATCTGATTAGGGAGCTGGCTGTACTGTCTAGGACTCTTGAATAATATTTTAGCCTGATCTCATAAAAGGAAACCTGTATACCAAAAAAGAGACAAATAGCTGCATGTAATGGTCCTTGTTGCTAGCACATTAAGTACTGCTGTGAGATTTCCTTCTGAAGAGAGCGTATATGCATATTTAGATTACATATCTTTTACTAGTTTTGATAATAAATGAGACAATCTTGTGCTTACTTGAAATGTAGCAGTGAGAGTATTAAAAATGCCACTCAGTATAGAATATTTTTCTGCTGAGGAACATAAAATTTGTGTAGTCAGGGGGTTTCTTGTGTGATTACAGACCATGTATACTTGAAAACAACTTTTAACACCCAGTGACATTAATTTCACTTGACTTCATGTCTTAAGGTCAAAAACATTAATCAGCACTTCTATCATTAGCTCAGTTTCCTTTTCTATTAAGTGATTATGATCACTTACTATTAATGAGTCGTGAAGTTTTAATAAATTTTTGCTAGTGTGAAATTGCTAAACAGTAATTATGGCATATCCTGTATGGATGGTTTGTTCCACAATGTACATTTTGCTTAATGTTGGTCAAAAACATCTACAAAAAAACAACAGAAAATAATTAACTAGTTATGGCTGAGGATGTGGAATGGCCTTTTTCACTGCCTTTATAGTCAATAAAAAGACAAAGCAGGTCTTTTTTTTTTTTTTTTTTTTGTCATTTCTGGAATTATTCTATTTCTGGACCTTGTGACTTTTGTAGTTCTTTATATGAAATGGCACTACCAAGGCTGCTTACTAAAGAGGAGATGAAAGAAAATATCACATCTTTTAAGAGCTATTGTTTTTACTTGTGTTATAAGTCTACCACTCTGGCATTGAAACAACAAGGTTAAAAAGCAAAAGCCAGACCTTTTCAGCTAATACAGAAGAGAAATAACACAGCAAGTCCCATTGCCAAAAAGTAATGTCTGAATACTGGCTTGGCTTTCCTGTAGCTTGCCATTACTCAGAGGCACATCTAAACAACCAATGCCAGATGCTCATTTGGAGCTTGGATGAGGTTTTTATTGGTTAGCTGACTTTTTTAAACACTCGTCAACCAGGAGCTGGGCTATCAGTGGCTGACTAACTGGAAGGTAGCGCTGAACACTGAATATATCAGAAGGGTATACTAAAGAAAACAAACGATGTTGCAGAGATAACAGTTTCTCAGCTAACTGCCCCCCACTCCCAATTTCCTGGTTTACTGACATCAGGGAAATTTGTTGAGAAGACGAGGATATCTGATAAAGCCACTACAGATGTACTGCCTTTTGCACTGATGCCTAATTTCCTGGACCACCCAAATGGAGGAATAAAGTCAACAGAAACACACGAGCTTCACTGAGCACTATTTCAGTGATATTCCTCTCATCTCACAGTAATTGAGTCCTTATAAAAAGTAAGATAAATTCTTTCAGAGTTTGTTGCTATACTGGTTCCCCCATGTATGGAATGGAAGTTGTCTGCCCTTTTTTGAAAGATCTCCGGAGCAGTACTGCCCATTCTCAATAAATCTCATCAAAGTGGTGCTTAAAAATTGGGGATGGTTCTGAGAAGAGCCATAAGCATGATTCTAAGATTCCGTGAAAAGCATGACTAACAGGCAATGTCTAACAGTGCAATCTCACCCCCAAAATTCCATGTATTGTCTTGAACA